CGGGAGCAGCCTTGAACTCGAGAGCGTCTCCCCGCCTCAACCCTGACCGACGGGGCGGCCCATCTGCGACGTCGAACTCGCCCGGGGCCCATCGGAAGCCCGGGAAGCCGTTTCTGGAAAGCGAAATCGCCGCCGCCCGTCGGACCTGCAAAAGCGGGAAAGCCCGATCCCTGGATCGGCCGAAGCCGAGGGCCACACCGAGATTACCTCCGAACACCAGAAAACGCCGACCAGAAACTCCAGGAGTAAAGACAACACTTCCCACTCCCAAGACTCCAGCCCTGCCCCCCCCCCCCCCCCTCGCGCACCGTCATCTTTCTCCCCAGCAGCGGCAAAACAGAACCTGCCAGCACACACACACACACACACACACACACACACACACACACACACACACACACACACACACACGCCAGCCCGTCGAACGGCACCTCAGGGAAAGTCAGGCCCCGCCCCCAAACCTCCGAAGCATCCCCCAAAGCTGGGGGGGGCGCCACAAAGACGAGGGGGTCGTCAGGGCGTAGACATGACAGACCGCGTCCCCGAGCCTGCGCGGCGTCACAACGAACGAATCGAGATCTCTCCTGCACCCCCCCGCGCGCAGCCGCCCAGCTCGACAACCCAGGCGCCGCGCATGCGCCAGCGCCCTTGGGACAGGAGTCATACGCAACCACCTCGCTCATTCAGCTGCGACCCCTGTCCGCACGGATAGGCGGCATGAGATCTAAAAAGGCTCGCAACTCATTCCGCGCCGTCTCCCGCAAAGGCACCCAACCAAGGGTGTCTGCGCTGTCGCACATACGTATAGACCGTGGCAAAACGGGACAACAGCGGCCTCTGCAGCGTGGCAAGATACGCACAGTGCCCCAAGAGCACCTCGAGACCCTTACCAGAGACCTTCGGGCATGCCAAGAATGCCTCCAGACGTAATCCGATCTTCCAGTAGCGCTTACCCGACTGTCTGAAACACCCCAAAAGCACGACTGAACTCAATACCTAGGGCCTCCCGCACCTGACCAGCCTCCTGGACTTCATGACACTTCATCTGGTTAGTAATTAGAACCTCGCGGATGTGATCCAGCGACTTCTGGGCCGTTATCTCGTCTGCTCCCAAGACCCCCACGTTGTCGACGTATGCGTAGATGATGGGCGGGCTGGACTGCCCCGCGAACAGACCGCCCCCCCTGTCCTGGACAGAGGGCACGTCCTCCACGCCAGAAGCCCCCCGAACCAGACGAGCGTTGATCCACTGAGCCCAGGAGACGGACCAGGAGAAATCCATGGGCAGAACGGCCATCGAGGCCCGCGCAAGACTGTCTCCTGAAACTTCGAGCCCCCGAACGCTGGAAAGCCCCAGCTCGCGCGCCCGCACTGGCGGAAGACAGAAATACTCCCCCAACCCCCGGTCGATCCCGATCCCGTGGAAACAGTTGTCTACATCAAGCGAGGCCCCGCACAAGTCCACCCCCTCCTCCACCTCCAATCATGCGAAACTCTCGGGAGTAGCGAGGCGGGTGCTCGGGGGGGGCCCTGAAGAGCTGGCCGGCGCGCCTCGCATCGGCGATGAGGCGCTCCTTTCCGCCCTGTTTTCCGCGCGAAGAAAGGCGTAACTAACTCCTTGGGCAAAGGACTCCAGCGGACTAGGCCCCTGGTATCCAACATCTTCAGAAACCGCGCGCAGTCGCACCGACGCGCGCGCAATCTCCGGTCAAAATAAGGGGCGATCTCCCCGCCGAACTCTCTCAGCTGCATCACTTCCTCCACATCTCTCATCACACTCTCTGTAAAGTTCACCGCCAACTCCCTGGCCTCCTCGGAATCCAGATCCTGGAGCAAATTCCCGTCCTGAACTCCTTCGGGCAGAGAAACGAGGCGTCGATCGAACTCGACGACTGTGGACGCAGCGCGGCAATATCCACACTCGCTATGGAGGAGCTCGCGCACGGCCCCCTCCTTCGTTAAAAATGCATGGGCTGGAGGCCGCTCAGCGACAGAACTGCGCGCCTCACCAACCGCGCCGGGATCAACGACGGGGTTCTGCGCACGGTCATATAGCCAGTTGAGTTGAGGCCTTGCTTGATGTCTCCAGCCTCGCGCGATCGATGATACCGGAGGTTGGCCCTCCGACGGCGCCGCCTCGACAGTCTCGAAGGCGACGGAGGAAACCCCTGACAAACATCGAGCGAAAAGAGCGGGACAGACGCAACACTCAAACGTTCTCGCGCCACGAACCCTCTCGCATCACTCCCCCCTGGGCCCGCGCCTGCACCGCGGCGAAAGGCGCTGGCGCTATCTGTCAAGGGAGCAAGGGACGACGGAGCCATTCGTCTTTATCCTGGTCCTTGTCCTTATTCTGCTTGCGTTTCAGACCAACGCGGGCCTCCTCCTTCAAGGCATTGGCCTTGCTCGTCTGCTTGTCTATCTCAGCTTCCTCCCTGACCTCCGCAACGAAAGAACGCAAAGAGAGTGCCACCATCTGGCGGCGACGATTGTAGCCTGAGAACTTCTCCGCAATCTCACAATTGGGCGTCGAAGGATTCTTAGCACGCGCCTCCAAGATCGCATGCCAGCATCTGCCATGGCGCTCAAAGGAGGCCAGAGAAGCAACATTGATCTGGTCATACTGAATAACGAGCTCAAACACCTCTGCCATCACGCGCATCTCATGAATAGACCCGTCGTTCTCACGCCAGCCAGCTGTCTGCAAATGCCTCTCCAACCAAAGCGCTGGCACCATTGACAGCTGAGCGAAAGAACCCAACAACCAAAGAATTGTTCCAGGACCATCGAGAGGCCAATCGGAAAAGCCGTCCTCCACCAACTCTTTGACAGAATCCACCCAGACTCGCTCACGATTACCAAGACCGTTGTACTTCACAGACAACGTTCGCACATCCTCTTCTGGTTTGGCCGCTGCACTGCTCTGCCCTGCCGGCACCGTCGGGCCAGTCAAAGCCCCGCGCAACGCCGCCAAAACTGCGGGGGCTCCATCTTCCCCTCGGGGAGACGGTGGCCCGCCCAAGCCTGGATACAGCAACGACTTGCGTTCCTCGGTATAGCTGTCGAAGTGCTCGGCGCTGATCTGTTCCAGCGCCACGATCACATCACCGAACTTCGCGAAGCCGCGGTTCCCCGACTTGGACGCGACCGCCGCGTCCGGAACCTCTGCACGCAGCCGCGCCACCTCGTGGTCCCCCTCGAAAGCTGGCTCCGAAAGCACCCATACCAGTCCACCTCAAGCTGGCAAGCCCACTGCAGCCCCCTGCGGGAGCGAGGCGCCTCCTCCGCCTTCCAGCGGCGCCGCGGCGCCCGCAGCAGCTCCACGAAGAGGCACACGTAAGAGACGAATGGCGAAGTCCTCGCCGTAGATCCTACGGTGCGGCACCTCCTCTAAGCCCTCGTCCTCCAACTAGACCCTCGCCTCCTGCCGCAGCTCCTTGTACCTCTCCGCCGACACCGCCTCATTGAACCTGTAGAGGGGCCTGGGCACCGCACGGCCCACTGCACGACCCCGCAGCAACACAAACTTAATGGAACCGCGATCGCCCGTGGTGTTGTGCCCTTCAGCATACAGATCAAAACCGAGCGTGGCATTAATCCAGATCCGTTTGTCACTGTCGCTCATCACCTCTCGCAACAAAAGCCTCTCATGTTCGGGGTCGTTACCCTCGTACCAAACGATACCATAAATCCTAGGAGTCTCATCATCGACTTCCGCCATGAGTTCTCAATCCACCCTCTTCCCTTGATAGCAGGTCCTCCGACACGCTTTGGGCAGCAGACTCTCGTAAAGGCAGCACCGAGAAGAACACCTGACAGGGCTCCGCTGAGACTCACAAACCGATACATAGGATTTCGCAGTCCCTGCAGGCAACACGACGTAAGACTTGCTGAAGAAATCTGCGGGCACGGCGCACAAAGGCTGTATCGGGCCAGGAGCCTCTGCACAGACACACGCGGGGCACCCTGCACAGACACACGCGGGGCACCCTGGGCACCCGGTCACAGAAACAATCAGGGCACTCTGGGCGAGCTCGAGACACGATGAATGCGAGCTCTCGCACGATCCCGCCTGCCAGGAATCCGACACCCACCTCGGGTCCCATGCGTCCTCGGGCCGAAAAACTCACTACGGGCAGGACATGCATCCACATTCCGAACAAGCGGACCTGCCCTGCCCGACCGAAACTGCCGAGCGTGCCGAGATCATTCACGCACAACTCACAGGAGGAGGAGGAGGAGGAGCAGCAGCAGCAGCAACAGAAGCAGGAGCAGGAGGCGTTGCGTCTCGCGACCTGGGACTTGCGACTCGCGAAGCGTGGAGGCCCGTCGGAAGCGAAGCACGGCGCGGGGCGGGACTGGCGAGCTCGGCCAGCCCCCACTTCAGGAGGAGGGGGAGGAGGGGGAGGAGGAGGAGGAGGAGGAGGAGGAGGAGGAGGAGGAGGAGGAGAGGAGGAGGAGGAGGAGGAGGACGACGAGGAGGGGGAGTAGGGGAAGGAAGGCGAGGCAGGAATTTGCGGACGAACAGCTGGGCAAAACGAGCGGACCCCTGTCCCTGGATGGGCGGGGTGTGGATACCCGCGTGCCGCCGCAGCAGGCTTACGCTCTCCACACTCGTCCTGGGACGGGCGTCCCCGCTGGTAGAAGCGCTCACGCCATCCCGCTCCTCGCCCGCCGAGGGAGAACACGACGCTTTGGAGCGGCCGCGCGGGTGCACGAGGACGACACGCGAGAACTGGAGAGCGGAGTCCCCGCCCCGAGGAGCGAGAAAGAGAGCCAATGAAGAAAAAAACGCCCTAAACAACAACTTTTGGCGCGGATGTCTTGGATCCGCGCTGGGCACCCCCTGGCGGCGCTTCCGGCGCCGACCCTGGCGCGCTCCGCGCGCCAGGAAGGGACATCTCCAGCTCAGACCCGAGAGATCCGCGCGGTACGTCCAAAGCTTATGCTCCTGGAGAGGGAGGGTTTCGAGGAAGGGCGCTGAGGGCGGGCGGCGCTGCCGAAGTGGAAGTAGTTCCGGGTGACCTTCTCGGGGTCCACGACCCACCTCACGAAGACCTGGCCGCGACCCCCCGCAGGCGCGGCGAGGGGCCCCATCAACCCGCCTGGCCGACAACCACCGACCACCGCCGCCACCTCCTCTGCGCCTCGATGTATCCCCGATCCTCGATCCTCCTCGTTTTTTTGGGGGAGGGGGGGGGGCGGGGGGCAAACCTTAGGAATCCTTGATCCTCCTCGTCCTCGTCCTCGTCCTCGTCCTCGTCCTCGTCCTCTTCCTCCTCCTCCTCAACCTCCTCCTCTTCCCTCCTCCTCCTCCTGGGCACAGCCTGGGGCGCCACAGAGTCTATGGTGCCTCAGCAGGACCTCGAACGCGGCTAGGGGCGCACCTTGCAACCGCCATTAGCCGCGCCCATCGGACACACACCGCGCCGTGCGCGGGGCCGAGGAGCGACGGTGCGAGGGTCACTAACGGCGCAACGCCGGGCAGTCCCCACTCGCACCGCGCCCCCCGTTGGCCATTGACAAGGATTAGGGCTCTGGGAGCAGGCGATAACCTGCATACCTCAGAACCCTCTTGGCTAAACAGTACTCGCCCCGTCTCAATCGTTCCAGGATAAGGCGACGATCCTTCGAAAGATGACGGGGCTGGCACTCACTCGCAAGAGACACCACGCGCTGGGTGGTGCATGCAGCGCAGTGAGTGCAACAAAACACCTGGGTTTCACCCACGAACAGCGAGGCCACACGATGATGCTTGGACCCAGCGGCCTTCAGAGAAACCTGAGCCTGCTGGATCCTTTGCTCTAATGTGGGCGGCTCTGGCTTGACAATGATTAGGGAGGGGGCTGAACGTGCAGAGCGCTGGCGGTGCAAACAGTCTACAGATGCAATGGCCTCACCCGCCCTGGCGGCCCATTTCCCCGTAAGACTGACCATTCTCTTCTGCATCAACGTAAGCTTCTGAAACTGGGGATCGGGCCGCAGGACGCGAGCACGACTGTTCGCAGCACCGTCGGCGGCATCATTTCCAAGTTTGTCTCGAAGCTTATACCTCCCCTCCGCAACCTGACCATCTGTCACGTGGGCTTTCACTTTCTTTACCTCAGGAGGGGTACCCCCCCAGTCATCGACTTTGTGCCAAACGAGCTTCCAAAGACAGGCCCAAGCCGCCGACGCCGACGTGGTGTCAGCAGGTCCGCGGATATTGTAACCTTTCCAAACGAAATCGGAATCCGTGTGCACAACAACAGGTGGCACCGCAAATCTAAGCACTGCGAACAGGGCATACAGCTCGGCACCGTCTATGTCCTGCAGCGGGTAGGGCAGGAGACCTGTGATGGTGCAGGCAGCCGTGTCGCTGTCGGCGGCCAGCGCAACAACTGCCCATGCAGCGGTCCCGCGATGTGGATAGTCAGTAAATAGAGAGCCATCAAGATAAAGATCCCCTGTGAGCTGTTGCGCATCCCCGTGCCATTAGGGCTCCGACGGCGTCAGCAGCACTGCCTGAGGGGCCTTGGGGAGCGGGACGAGCACACGCTCCAGCAGCAGGCGCACCAGGTCATTCTGGTCCGCATGCGGGAGCATGAGTCTGATTGCATCAGGGAGTGGCTCTCCTATTGCCTCAAGCATGCTCTTGCAAACAGCGTGCCGATGCACGAGGGACCCAGGGGCCTCATGGCATGCAAGGCAACTCGGGGAGTCAATCCATCCTTGTTGAAATTGCACGTCTTGGGGCCACTGAGCTCCAATGATAGCACTCCTGAGGTAGCCACGCTGCTGCCAAGTGAGGTTCCCCTTGGCGCTCAGGAGGTACTTCAGAGGCCCATCCCAGAACCCAGTACGGAACTCGGGCATCTGGAGGTGCTCCGAAATCTGCAGGTTGACCCAGTGGCGCACCGCATGCGCACAGCAGTGCAGTAGGACCCTGGGGCAAATGTCCTTGAGTTTCAGCTCCAGACCATCAGGCAACTTCCAGACCAGGGGCTCAACGACGACGATCCCGACTCTGGCGAGCGTAGCGAAGAGGGCTCCCAGGGGGCCCCGAACTTGCGGCCACATTTGGTCCTTCCCAGACAACGCCAATCTAGCAGCCTCAAGGCCATGCTCAAGTACATGACATGGCACGCGCGACGCCCAAAAAACCGAGCTGAAAGCTTTGATAGGCTCCAGAGTAGCCCTCCAAATCGGGTCGTAGTTGGCCTGCGGCGCGAGCGCGAGAGCGAGAGTGCGGCTCTTGCCGCTGGTCTTGGCGTCGAGCGCCGCAGCGGCCTGGGATCGCAACACGTCCAGCTCCTTAGAGGCAGTACCCTGAACGGAGGTCCCAAAGGCAACCGAAGTCTCCAGGGCCGCCCTGGCCATGATGGCCATGGTTTTCCGCCTGGCCATACCTCCCTGGAGATGTTTCATTCTCTTGAGCTTGGGTTTGGCGACCTTGATTCTGCCCGTCCTGGTGGCCCTCCTGAGAAAACGACCAGAACTGTAGTCAACCCCCAAGTTGCGCTCATGGTTCACGCCCTGGGCCCTAAGCGATACCAGCCTCCTGGACAGCTGGTCACGTAAATCAGAGTCACTGGCAAGAACTCGCGTCTTGTCAAGAGCGAGCCGTAGATCCACACGCTGCAGCTCGCACTGAAGCTTCACTCCAGCACCAGCTACATCAGCAACTACTCGGCCGTGTTCCCCCGATCTCTGCAACGCAAAATCGTCGACAACCACGGAAAGACAGATGGCCCGAAACTCTTTCTGAACAACATCCAGGGGGCCCAGCAAAACCAGTTGCAGCAAAACAGTAGCAAAACCACACCCAGGGATAATCGTAGTTTCCGCCGTGATGTGATTACTGACAGTCCCTTGGAGATCAAGCAGGCGGGGCGACCGATAGACTTGCACAAGCAAACGCAGTTGCCACAACGGAAATCCAGTGCGAGCGGCCGCCTGGACAAGATGATGATGCTTGACCAGTTCAAACGCTTTCTTCAAATCGAGCAGCAACGTAGCAGATGACAGGCCCTTGGACTGATAATACTCCGCCCACACTGCCTGAATGTACTCCCTCCTCCTCCTCCTCCTATTCCTCCTCTTCCTCCTCCTCCTCCTCCTCCTCCTCCTCCTCCTCCTCCTCCCTCCTCCTCCCTCCTCCCTCCTCCTCCTCCTCCTCCCTCCTCCCTCCGCCCTCCTCCCTCCTCCTTCCTCCTCCTCCTCCTCCTCCTCATCTTCTGCTTATTATGTTTTTTATGTTTCTTCGTATTCGTATCAATATTATGAATAGTATTAATATTATTGGTATCAGTAGTATTAGTAGTATTAGTAATAATAGTAGTATTAGTAATAATAGTAGTAGTAGTAGTATACGTATTAGGACTGTGATTATTATTAGTAGTATTAGTATTAGTATTATTGATAGTATTATTAGCATCATCATCATTAGTATTAACATTAGTACTACGATTAGTATCATTAGTGTCATTATGATTAGTAGTATCAGTATCATTAGCGTTATTATTACTACTACTACTACTACTACTACTACTACTACTACTATTCTTATTAGTAGTGTTAGTAGTAGTATTATTATTATTGTTAGTAGTAGCATTAGTAGTAGAAGTATTATTAGTAATGCTAGTATTATTACCATTAACTGTAATAATAGTATTATTCGTGGTATTAGTATTATTTCTATTATTCGCAGCATCATTAGTATTATTATTAATATTATTATTGTTATCAATATGATTATAATTATTATGAGTAGTACTATTATTATGTGTATTCTTCTTATGCTGGTTAGTAGTGTTGTTATTCTTATTCGTATTACTATTCGCCTTCTTATTATTAGTAGTATTTATATTATGCTTCTAGTATTAATATGCTTATTCTCCATAACCTTATGAGTATCATGATTCTTCTCATTAATAGTATTAGTATGTTTAGTATTAGTATTATTCGTATTAGTCGCCTTCGCATTATTCTTATTATTGTTCATACTATGAGTATTATTAGTGATAGTTTTATTATTATTTCGTCTGATGCTTTGTACTATCATTATTAGTAGTATGATAATGAATGTTATTATTACTATTATTATCGTATTATAGTATTATTATCATTATTATCAGTACTATTATAGTATTGTGATGATGTTCCTTCTTATGTGTTGGTGCTCTTCGTCTGCTTATTATGCTTATTAGTATTCTTCCTCCTCCTCCTCATCATCATCACCATCATCATTACCATCCTTCTCATCCTCATCCTCATCCTCATCCTCATCAGCATCATCATTATCGTCGTCATCGTCATCATCATCAGCATCATCATCGTCATCATCATCATCATAATTGTCATCATCAGCATCATCAGCATCATCAGCATCATCAGCATTATCATCATCAGCATCATCGACATCATCATCATCATCATCATCATCATAATCCTCATCCTCATCCTCATCCTCATCCTCATCCTCATCCTCATCCTCCTCATCATCATCATCATCATCATCATCATCATCATGATCATCATCATCATCATCATCATCATCATCATCATCATCATCATCATCATCATCATCAATCATCATCCGCATCAGCATAATCATCGTATCCCCCCTTAGGCTCCAAATAAGCTTGTCTATACGAGTCACACCTACATATCTGGAGAATTGATACACTGCTATCCCTGTGCTGCAACAGCACCGCGCCCCACCCAGCGGAACCGTACCCCCGCAGCCCTGCCGTGGTACTGCATCCCTGCAGATTGCGCCGTAGCCCTACAGCGCTGCCGGGGTGCACGCCGTACCCTGGCAGCGCTGCCTGGGTGCGGCCTCGCTGGCTGGGGAGAGCCCCGTAACCCGGCAGCCTTGCGGGGGTACGGCCTCGCTAGCGGGGGAGAGCGCCGTGCCCTGGCAGCGACGCTGGGGCACGGTTTCCCTGGCCTGCCTGGGAGATTGCCGTCCTGCCCGCTGGAGCGAGCGCCGTGCCCCAGCAGTGCTGCTGGGGTACGGCCTACATGACTTGGAAACCACCCCAGATCTCCAACGATATGGTTGTTTCAATCTGGGCGACTTTCTTCGGGTTCGGCTCCCGGGGCCCGCTGTTGTGCCCTGGGACCATCAAACATGGGCCTCGGGTGCAAAACTACCCCCTGGGAAGGGGTCGCGACCTCTGGGGCCGCGGATGTAGGGGAACGAAAAATGACATAAAAATAAAAACTCAGAGGTCCGCGCGGATTTCTTGGATCCGCGCTGGACGCCCCTCCCTGGCGCGCTCCGCGCGCCAGGGGCAGCGCCAGAGGCGCGCACAGGATGCCCCAGCGCCGATCCGACTAATCCGCGCGGACCTCCGAGTTGTTATGTTTATGTCATTGTTCGTGCCCCGAGGATTGACAAAAGCATATCAGAGAATGTCGGGGATCTCATCCCCTAGCGGCGCTGCCAAGATACGGCGCTCTCAGGCCATACCCAGGCCATGCAGTGCGGGGGCACGTCGCTGTCCACAATCAGGGAGGCCGCACCTGGGCGTCGCCGCCTGCAAACAAGCGCGTGCCACTACTCGCAAAGTAACTACTCGCAAACGGCTTGGATCCGCCGCTGGGGATGTGCGATCCATTACGCTTGCGAGTAGACACTCTGCGAGTAGTGGAACGCGCTCGGTGAGCCTGGGCACGGCGCTCCCCCAGGCCAACGAGGCCGCGTATCCAGGCAGGCGCCGCCGGGGCAGGGTGCAGCACCGTGCCCCGGCATGTGTTTTCTTGCCGCCCTCAGGAAGTCGTGGCACTGTTTGATTTCTCGCGCAGTGGACTTTGACGCGAAACCTGCTACCCTTAGGTCGGGCCTGTCCCCCTACAGGGGGATTTTGGACGAAAAATAACAAATATTCACAAACATATTCAAAAGATGCCCAAAAATACTCCAAAAATAGTCCCCTGGCTATTTTTTATACTTTTTGCATAATATTCCCCCTGTAGAGGGACAGGCCCGACTTAATGCTACCCTGAGGCGGCGGGGGGATCCGAACTGGATGGGGCCCCAGGGAATCGAATCGAGCAAAAGCGGGGGGGGGGCCGGGCCACGTCCGCTCGAGATCGCCCCGCGCGGGTCAATCCGGTGTGGCACTCCACCCCGCGTTCTTCGGGGCGGCCCCCGGGCCGGGGCCCCCAAAAATGGCTCCCATAGGGAGGCCGAAAAAGGCAAAAAGCCGTCTCGAACCCAGAACCACGCCCCCCCCCGTTCCTGCTGGCCAGAACCCGTGCTAGGCCACCTCAAATTCCCCGCCAGCTCTCACCTGCTGCCCCTACTCGCACTTCAAGACAGAGGTTCCTTCGTCGTCTTCGAAGCCATTATCGCCGGCAACGGCGCTGTCATCGTTGTCGCCCTCGCACTCCCTGGCCCCTCTCTGCCCGCAGCACGCGACCGGCTCTTGTGCAGAGGCGAGTTCGAAAGCGTGCTCCGCCTTGGGGCCGCAGCAGCTTGGAGGCTGGAGGGAAGGGGAAAGTAATCATCCTCGTCCTCCTCCTCCGCCTCCGCCTCCTCCTCCTCCTCCTCCAACCCTATGGCGGGCAATAGGCTGCCCCTAAGCGCAGGTCGATCGAAAAGCATGCATAATCGAGCCGATCGAAGCGAAGCCCATTCACGGAGGGAGGTCTTCCCTGGGAGCGCGTGCCCTGATCGACCGATGCCGCACGCGGATACCAGCACGCATGCACCTTCGAGCCCGACCGAGACAGTGGACGGCCCCTGCGCTCGCGGCGCTACAAACTCCTGCCTCCTCTGAGAGTTTTTTGGTCTTGTCTCAGTGGGGCAGGAGATGGGAGCGGACACCAAGACTGCACACGATTGCAACAAGACCCGCTGGAAGCGAAAACTGCCCAGTGCTTTTGAGAAGGCTCTGGCGGCCACAAAAGATCGGAGACCACTCCTCCTCCTCCTCCTCCTCCTCCTCCTCCTCCTCCTCCTCCTCCTCCTCCTCCTCCTGCGGGAGGGACTGCCGCGCCCCGCGCGTGGCTCAAGGCCCCCCCGGAAGGGCCGCCGCGCGCTCCCGCAGGTTGTGAGCCCGGCGCGATGGCCTTAGATTTTCGCATCGGGGTTGAGGTCAGATGGCAATCGACGCAAAAGACATCCCGATCCCCGATTTCGACCGCGACTCGGATCTAGGCGACGATCTTCCTCCACCCTATCGCGATCGTGGCGCTCCAATTTCACAGTTGTTTCACACACCTTCGACACAGACTACTCTTCCTGTGACGGACAATCGCGACGCTGAGCCACGTTCGACTGGAAGCACAGTTCGCGGTGGGTGCCCAGGAGGCACCATCACCACCACAACAGCAACCTAAACACACTCTGCGCGCCGACACGGACAGTCGCGATGCTGCGCCACGTCCGACTGGAAGTGCTGAGCACTGGCCACAACAGGGACAGCGCGCACAGGACACCACGCAAGCCTTCCTCATGGCACAAATGGGGGAGAGCTTAACCGAAGTGGCTCGCGAGCTCTCTGCTGCCCGCTCCAGCGGCGACGGCGGCAAGCACCCGTTGCCTGCCTTGCCGGGCGGCGCCAACGGCCGCGCGCTGCCGAGCGTCTCCGCTTGGCGCGCTTGGATCCAAAACGAAACTCGCTGGGTGGTGCGGGCTGCAGTCGCAAGGCTTCGCGGAAACCGTCCTTGCGTCCCTCGGCGGCCCTACCTCGGACGTTTCCTGTGTGCAACCGAGCCCAGGTTCACCAAGGCCAAAAGAAACCTTGCATTTGAATAGCGCGCGCAAGCCAACGAAAACACCAGCCTCTACTGGACGGGCGTTGCTCGCACAGACGGGGTACCCATGCCAGCCTCACTCAGCGACGCCATCATGGTTTCGGCCACGGCGCACACTGCAACCTTGCACGACAAGTTGCGTCACCCCTGCCAGTCTCAGACCACAGCAAGCTCCAACACGCTCTGAAAGCGTGGCAGGCGGAGCTCTCCGAGCTTCGCGCCGCCGAATCTGAGCCGTCGAAGCACACGGTGTTTCAGTCTTTGCGACAACTGTTGGGCAAGTTAGGCGTCCTGAGAGTCCCACTTGAAATAATGGAGATGACCTCCCCCGACAACCCGGACGCCATCTTCAAGATGGCGGAGGCCAAGGCAGGGCACTGGGCTGGAAGGGCGACCTTTTCGCAGCAGGTGAGGGCGCCAGCGAACGCAGTGCGCACCGACAGACACGGCAAGGGAAAAGAGAAGGACAAAAACAAGGACAAACCAAGACCAACGACGGCAAGGGCAGGGACCAGCAAGCTTAAATTCCATGTTCGTTCTACCTCAGTGGGCACTGCCGTCGGGGCAACAACTGCAAGTTCAACCACACTGGCAACGACGCGAGCAACTCCTTACCTAGGAATAACTGCCGCATGTGCCATCAGCCTGGACACTGGGGCAACGAATGCCCGAATAAGGACTCTGACACCCACCCTGGGGCGGGGCCCGGGGCAGGAAAGGGACAACCCGGGGTGGGGCCCGGGCGCAAAGGCGACGCCAAATACAGCTGGAAAGGCTTAGGAAAAGGATGGGGCAACGACGCGCCCACGTCCGCGCCTCCTGGTCTTGAGACCGAGGAGGGCCGGAAGCGCAGCTGGATCGGAGCCGGCATGCTGGCCAGACAGGCAGCCGGATCGGAACCGGCGCCAACAGCGCAGCAGTCCGCGGCAAACATGGCAGTTTTCACCCAAATGGCACAACAGCTGATGAATGTACAGAGAATCAACTACAAAGCAGTGAAGGATATTCTGGAGCGCGTTTCCGGGAACATGCTGCGAATCTCCACTCCCAACCTCACCCTCGGGGTCAACAGCGTCACTGCGGATTCGCCCCTGGCGATGGCGGCGGATTCGGGTGCCGAAAGACACGCGCTGGCAGGCAAGGATTTCTGGCACGCCGGGAACATCCGCCCTCTCGACGCGCCCCTCATCCTCGAGACGGCGAACGGCGAGACTGTCGTCACGCACCAGTGCGGCGTTGTGTGCGGAGGCGTTTTCCTTCAGGGCGTCCTGATGCGCAAACCGCAACATCTTCCCTTCGAGCAATCGTCCTGCTGACGGACGACGAATGGCAATACCGCCAGGTTCGAGCCAGCGCTGTCTTGACGGACCCTGCCGGGACCCCTTTCTGTCTACACAGGTCTGTCAACTTGTTCATCCTCGTCGCTACAAGTATTGCACCTACCCCCTCACCATTATCGTCCTCGTCACCATCATCATGGGGATGGGGAGAGGGAGGAGGAAGGGGAGAGACGGGAGTACATCGCAACAGGGGTTCTGCTGGGTCGGCGTTTCGCAACCAGGGTTCTGCTGAGGGGGATGACAATCGCGCCGCTGCGCCACGGCCAACTGGATTCCAGGAGCCAGGCGGCGCGGCGGACAGTCGTGCTGGTGAGCCACGGCCAACTGGAAGCCCGCCGCCGGCCATGACTTCATCGGAGGGTCGCGGCGGGTCGTGGGCACCAAGCACGTGCGAAATGCACGCTGCCAGCGCGCGGGAAGAGCCCGCACTGGCGGTGAACTCCCCGGAGGCTTTTCATCCGCATTCTGAATGCGGCGACCTTTCGAAAATGATGCTGTACCTCCCGGAGCGTAAAAGCCCGCCGAGTGAAATGGACCCTGCGCTCAGCATCCATTTTCGGAAGGGCCACGCGGAGCACGACCCGTCTCGTCCGGCCCGGCGGGTGCACTAGGAGTCTCCTGGAGGGGAAACGGTCAGCCGGCCCCCTGCCCGTCCCGGCCCCCCGTCTTCGGACCTCGCCGGCCCCCTGCCCGTCAGCCTCAACGGTAACAAATACGCCCTCGTAACTGTAATCCCGCTTTCCAGGCATGGCTTCACAAACCCATTGCCAAACAAAGAGCCCCAAACAGTGCGAGACGCGATGATCGATTGCAAGCTGAATCAGCGACGGTTGTGACGAGTCCATTCGGACGGCGGTGGGGAGTTTAAGGGGGAGGTGGACAGGTGGCTCCGGGAGTGTGGTCTCGTTCACACCGACACGGGTGGGTATAGGTCGCAGGCCAACGGGATCGCCGAGCAACGCATCCAAGTGTTGTTCGAGATCGTTCGGGCGATCCTTCTGCAATCCGCCGCACCTAAAGAACTCTGGGACAAAGCACTCGCGCACGCAAACGCCTTGTTCAACAACACCCCAGGAACGCACCAGGACACGAAAGTAAGGTAGTTCCACAAGTACTCGAGAGTAATAGCGGGGATGATGTAAGCAAGTGGCCACCTTGGGGGTGCAAGTCTTTTTACCTGATCCCCAAACTGGTGCGGACGGACAAACTCGACGGTGTTGCTCGACTGGGCGTGTTCGTCGGCTTCGATTCGCAGACGTTTCATGGCGTCAGGGTTGCCCCAGTCACCCGGCGTGGGGACGAGTGGGTCGTCCACAAAACTGTCGTTTCGAATACCGTCCGGTTCGTCGACACGGAGTTCCCCCCGAAGAGTCGCGGTGGTAAACTCGACCCCCTCGACGGCGTCTTCGACGTCTCCGAGTCGGACGCGCCCCGTTCTTGGAAGGACTCCGCGGCGGCGGAGACCGGCGCGGCGGCGGCGTCGGCGGGTCCACAGGCGGCGGCCGGGACGGGACAGTTGAGGCGTTGCACCACGCCTGAATGGAACCGCTGCCTCCGACGGCCCCACAGCACAGACGCGACGTCCCAGCAGTCGTTTCGCTACAGTCGAAGAGCAGCGCGCCCATTGGCGCGAGCGTAAACGGGAGCAGGCCCGCAAACGTGTCCGTCCCCGCCCTCCCCCGTCAGATATCGTTGAAGGGGCCCCAGGACACACAAATAAATACACACAAATAAAAATATTCCCAATTTGTTCATATATTTTCTGGGATTTCGTCTTCCCCCCCACTTCCCATATTTTCTTACATTTTCTGGGGAATCGACGATTAATTGTGTCTGTGTTTTCTTGCCCCTCCTGAATCGTGGGGTGGTGGGGTGGGCTTCGCACGTGGCCACCGGGGGCATGCCAGCCTGGGGCCGGCGCTCCCTCGGAGAGCAGAGCCGCCGGTGCCGGCACCACGCCGGCGGGGCGATCCCCTCAGCGCGCCTCCGGTGGACGGAGTGGCGACACCGTCTGCTCCGACCCCATCCAGGAGGCCTCGAGAAAGATGTGTCGATTGCACTGGGCTTCGTCGCAGCGGTGGCAACCGCGCACCGCGTCCGCAGCCCTGCACGTCTGCAGGACGAAGCGCATGCCACTGGTGCTCTCTCCGTTCCTCCCGAGCCAGCCCGGGGGTGGCGCTCGGTGCCTTCATGGCTGTCCCCACCCGCCCAGGGCTTCCCCACGCCATCCGCCCACCGCCTCCAGGGTGGGGCCTGGCGCCCTGGACACGGCGGAAGCGGCACCTATCCATCCCCACCTGGTGAGGTAGATCGGCCAGCGGGGGAAACGCTCACTCTGGCTTTCTTAAGAAGCTTAGGGG